TTTCTGTCTGGAAGACCTGTCCATTGGTGAGAGTGGGGTGTTGAAGTCTCCCACTACTAGTGTATGGGGTTTGATGTGTGATTTAAGCTTTAGTAACGTTTCTTCTACGAATGTAGGTGCCCTTGTATTTGGGGCATAAATATTCACAATTGAGACTTCATCTTGTTGGATTTTCCCTGTGATAAATATGTAATGTCCTTCCCAATCTCTTTCAGTTGATTTTAGTTTGAAGTCTATTTTATTAGATATTAGGTAGGATAGCTACACTAGCTTGCTTCTTAAATCCATTTGATTGGAAAGTCTTTTTTCAGCCTTTTATTCTGAGGTAGTGTCTGTCTTTGAAGTTGAGGTGTGTTTCTTGTATGCAGCAAATGGATGGATTGCAAGGTGAATAAGTTTAGGGCCATTGAGGTCGGGTGCCAGGTGTAGGGGCTGGAGGTTTTGTAAGAGGCATTCTAAGGGGGAATGAGAGGGTGTGGAAGACACGGTTCCCATGGATGAGAGAAGGAAAAGGAAAGGGTTATTGCAGGCTGTAGTAGCGGGCATCCGCAGGACTCAGAGAGGACTGAATGAGGACCAAGCCATTCAGAGGGTCGTCAGCACACCCAATGGGGGTCCTGTTTAACTTGGCTAAGCCAGAAGTGACTCGGTGCTAGGTACCAGGGCTTTGGTAGAGGGCCAGAAGGCAAGGATGAAAACCGAGCTCTAAGAGGGGTCTCATCCATAGGAAAATGTCAGGAATGGGGCCGCAGAAGTCCTGTTGGGCCTAATGAAACTTTAGGATTGCAGCTCTAAGGATGGTGGGATGGGGTCAGCTGAAGAGAGCCTGTCATATTGGGTTATGGTTGGAGTACCAGAGGGGTGACAGATAATCAAAGGTCACTTCCTCATCCCTCAGGCAGTGGGGCAGGTGTGGTCTCAGTGAGGAGAGTACCTCCATTCCTCAGAGCACAGGAGTGGGGGAGCCGGTCCCTCCGGGACTGAGGCAGTCCTGCACCAGGCAGCCTGATTGCGCAACTGGCCTTGACCCAGAGCTCTGAACTGCAGCTGCTATTTAGAATCAGGGAAATGTTTAGAACGACTGAGGGGGAACTTACACAGTTGCCTTGGTGGATGGGGGTGTGAGTGATGGGGTGAGCTGGAAGGTGAGCCTGTTGTGGTCCCAGGGTCCCAGCGTGTCTCAGACCTTCGGGAGGGCCTGCTGAGTTCACAGCACCAAATGTTGTATTTTAAAATGGCAGGAGAGGGACCTTGGTGGGTTGGAGCCAAGGTGCCTCATGGCAGGTAAGAGACAGAGACTCGCCATGCAGATAGTGCTCATGTGGAGAGTTTTATTAGTGGTGAAGGGGGAAGGGAGAGGGATGGAAGAGCTGTCTTGTTGCGGGGGTGATGGGGAGTGGGGAGGGATGGGGAGGGGGGCGAGGAGAGAAGGTCCGTGGGCCTCACTTTTTATGAGGGGACTTCCACACATGCACAGGAACACTGTGTAGCAATGAGTGCAGGATGTTGTTAGAACCCTGAGCCAGCCAAGGCATTGCCTACACATTGCCCAGGTCCCCAAGGGGCAGGTCTGAATGCTAACAGTGGGTGCCCTTGTATTTGAGGCATAAATGTTTAGAATTGAGACTTCTGATGGATCTTTTTCCTGTGATGAATATGAAATGTCCTTCTCCATCTCTTTTGATTAATTTTAGTTTGAAGTCTAATTTGTTAGATATTAGGACAGTTACACCAGCTTGTTTCTTAGGTCCATTTGATTGGGAAGTCTTTTCCCAACCCTTTACTCTGAGGCAATGTCTGTCTTTGAAGTTTAGGTGTGTTTCTTGTATGCAGCAGAAGGATGGATCCTGTTTTCGTGTACATTCTGTAAGCCTGTGTCTTCTTATAGGTGAATTGAGTCCATTGCTATTCAGGGATATTAATGACCAATGATTGTTAGTTCCTGATATTTTTGGTTTTGTTGGTGGTGATGTTAGTGTGTGTGTGTGTGTGTGTGTGTGTGTGTGTGTGTGTGTGTGTCCCTTCTTTGGGATTTGCTGATATGAAATTATCAATTGCCTGTGATTTTGTGGGAATGGCTAACTTCCTTGGGTTGGAGTTTTCCTTCTAGTGCTTTCTGTAGGGCTGAATTTGTGGATAGGTATTGTTTAAATCTGGTTTTATTTTGGAATATCTTGTTTTCTCCATCTATGGTGATTGAAAGTTTTGCTGGATATAATAGTCTGGGTTGGCATCCATGGTCTCTTAATGTCTGCATAACATCTGTCCAGGACCTTCTGGCTTTCAGAGTCTCCATTGAGAAGTCGAGTGTAATTCTGATAGGTCTGCCTTTATATGTTACTTGGCCTTTTTCCTTTGCAGCTCTTAATATTCTTTCTTTATCCTGTATGTTTAGTGTTTTGATTATTATATGTCCAGGGGACTTTTTTTTGGGGGGGGTCTGGTCTATTTGGTGTTCTGTAAGCTTCTTGTACCTTCTTAGGCATGTCCTTCTTTAGGTTGGGAAAGTATTCTTCTATGATTTTGTTGAATATATTTTCTATACCTTTGAACTGGAATTCTTCTCCTTCTTCTATTCCTATTTTTAGGTTTGGTCTTTTCATGGTGTTCCAGATTTCCTGGAGTCTTTTGCTCCTTTATTGTCTGTCTGTTTCCTTTATTGTCTTTTGTCCTGAATGGCCAACGGGTCTAGTGATAGGGTGGTTGTCAGGTTGAGTAGGGTCATCTCCACTGAGGTTTGTGGGGGCTTGGGTGCCTAGGTCCAGCATATTGTCCAGTTCTTCCAGCTGGTGTGGGCTTTACTTGTGCCTATGGGGTCTGTTTTTCCAGCTCTTGTGGGTTGTGCCTGTGCCTATAGGATCTGCTGATGTTGCTGGAGAGGGCTGTTCACGCATGGGCTGCTCTTCTTCCAATTAGTTCAGGTGGTGCTTGTGCCTCTCGGGGCTGCTGATTTTGTGGAGGATGGTTGGCCAGGGAGAAGATGATGGGTTTGGTGGGTTTAGGTGACGGAGTGGGTCTTGTAGATTCCAGGGTCCAATCGCCTCTATTTTTTTTAAACCCCATTCAATACTGTTTATGAGGCTATTTGATTAGGAATAGGCTCCCCCCATCTACAGTTTTTAAGGTAATTTAAAATTTTATCTTATTTTTCATTATGTATATGTATAAATATATGTGTGTCATATGCATGTGTGTACAGGTGCCACTGGAGGCCAGAAGAAGGTGTCAGGTCCATTGGTGCTGGAGTCACAGGTAGTTATTAGCTGGTGGTTGTGAACCACCCAACATGGGTGCTGGGAACTGAACTCGGGTCATTTGCAGGAGCAACATGAGACATCTCTCCAGCCCTTAAGGTAGTTTTTTATTTTTGAGAAGTTAAATATTTCTAAGTAGAAGAGCTTAGATTGTAATAAGAGCTGTGTCCTGCTTACTGTGATATAGAGAAAGTGTTATTTATTTCATATGCTGAGTATAGATGTCGCTGGAAGTTTTCCTGTGTCCCACCTGGTCCTGCAGCTACTCAGACCCAAGTAAACACATGCAGGCTTGTATCAATTACAAATTGCATGGCCATGGCCTATGGCTCAGTTTTCTTGCTAGCTAGCTTTTATTACTAAACTTAGCCCATTTCTGTTAATCTATGTGTCGTCACGTGTTCTGTGTCTTTACCTGTGTACCGTTACACACTGCTCCCTAGACAGCAGGATGGCATCTTTCTGCCTCTCTTTTCTCTTCCTGTCTATCTGCTTGGATTTCCACCTTTGTCGAAACTGCCTTGCCATAGGCCAATGCAGCTTTATTTATCAACCAAGCAGAGCAACACATATTCATGGCATACAGAAAGACATCCCACAGCATATAGAACCTGGGCTTCACACATGTTAGCCTAGGTAGCACCTCTACCCTTGAGCTGCAGCCCCAGCTTTGGATGAGCAATATGCATCATACGTTCACTGAGTGCAAATCTGTCTTACAAGCAGGAACATCCGAGAAGTGCATGCAGGATTTTATACCAGACCCACTGGGTTCAAATTCTGGCTGGACTTTACCAGATCCATGATTCGGAGCACTTGTCTAAACTCTTCTGGCTTCTCTTATCTCTTCTACCAAACAGATGTGACAGGAGCATGTGCCATAGCTTTTAGTGTCCTCGTGAAGACTAGGCGTGCTACACAGTCGTATTCCTGTATGGCTTAGAAATGAGCAGTGACCTCAGTTCTTGTGAAGCTCCAATAGAGAAAAGACGAGTCTTTAGTAACAAGAAGCAAGTGTTTTGAATAAAACAACGAACAAAAGCTCAAATACCTGCTCATTAGACTTCAAAAAGAACACAGTATGGGATGGTGAACTGGGGATACTGAGTCACACCGTAGGTGTGTGCTGTAGGATTGGGAGAGCATTTGCAGTCAGTGGCATCCAGTGCAGCCTAGACAGAGCAGGTCAACTTGAAGGCCAGAGATTTGAAGAGAATGTCCTGAAGATGTACAGTACTCGTCCAGGTACAGACCTGGTCTTCTTTCATTTTCATTGTGTTTATTTCATTTTATTCTTGTGAAATTCTAGGTAAAAAATGCTGAATCTTTGAAAAAAACCTTTCTATTTACTATGATGATTGTATAGAAAGTATACCCTGTGTGATGAAGCAAGTAACACTATCTCCAAATTCTAAGCACATTACGCCTTTAAATTTAAATTTACATTATTTTTTTAATTTCAATCAAAGAATCGCAAAATTTTACTTTTGGTGACTACAGTATAATACTTTGATCAATGTACATAGTGTGGAATGGTAAATATAGCTGATTACCAGGTTTTAAACTTGAATCTCTGAGTCATAAACTTAAAATATTTTAGTACTCACTATTCTTGCCATTTATTCTTACCAGTATTCCCTGTCAATTATTCTTGTCATTTTGAAATGAAATTGGTTATGTTAGAGGAAAAAGGAGAAAAATTGTGCTGAGCACTAAGTAATGGCTTGCTTTGGCCCCCATCCTCAGGTCTTCTTCTCTATATTAACTGGGACTTTCAGTATCGGACATCTTGCCCCAAACATAGAAGCCTTCGCAAACGCAAGAGGGGCAGCCTATGAAATCTTCAAGATCATTGACAATGTGAGTCTGACCTGCCCATTGATCCATCCATCTACTTAAAAGATTTTTCTGATCGAGTCAGTTTTGTTTTTACTTCCTCTCTCCACAGAGTGTCCCTACAGATAGTTATCGTAACCTAGTGATCGCCTAACATATGTTTCTGTTTAGGAGCCAAACATTGACAGCTTCTCAACAAGGGGACACAAACCAGACAGTATAATGGGAAATTTAGAATTTAAAAATGTCCACTTCAGCTACCCATCTCGAAGTGGAGTTAAGGTACGGCGATATGATAAATCTGTGATTCAATCATTTGTTGGCTAGAGATACTCCTTTAGATACTGTAAAACAAAATCACATGTATGTTATGTGTTTAAACCCAGTACTGACTTCAGCTTTCAGCTCATAGAACACACATAGATCTGTGTGTCTGGGAATTGCCCTAGCATTAGCATCTCACCTTTTTTGCAGATCTTGAAGGGCCTCAACCTGAAGGTGCAGAGTGGACAGATGGTGGCCCTGGTTGGCAACAGTGGCTGTGGGAAAAGCACCACTGTCCAGCTGTTGCAGAGGCTGTATGATCCCATAGAGGGCGTGGTGAGTGGGCATGCAACAGCAGCAGTTACCACTGCCCATCATTCTGACTCCGTGATTCTAAAGTGAAAACCACGCATTCTATTTCAGGTCAACATTGACGGACAGGACATCAGGACCATCAATGTGAGGTATCTGCGGGAAATCATTGGCGTGGTGAGTCAGGAACCTGTGCTGTTTGCCACCACCATCGCTGAAAACATTCGCTATGGCCGAGAAAACGTCACCATGGATGAGATTGAGAAAGCTGTCAAGGAAGCCAACGCCTATGACTTCATCATGAAACTGCCCCATGTGAGTTGTGCCTGTCCGCTGTCACCCCGAGGTTCAGAGAGCAGAGCTCTGGCCTGACACTATCCATGTGAAAACTCCTGTTAATCAGAAGAACTTCCTTAGAGGAGAAATCCAGTTTACTGTGGATTTTACATCGCTCACCCTATCTACTAGGGGTAGAACTGGACTGTATTGCTGTCGAGGCTCCAGTGATGACCACATTCCGATTTGAAATGTGAACTGAAGTAGTTTGTTGCTTTACTACATTTTCCTGTTTCTTTTTTTTTTTAATAATTTGTAGAAATTTGACACCCTGGTTGGTGAGAGAGGGGCTCAGCTGAGTGGGGGACAGAAACAGAGAATCGCCATTGCTCGTGCCCTGGTCCGCAACCCCAAGATCCTTTTGTTGGATGAGGCGACCTCAGCTTTGGACACAGAAAGTGAAGCCGTGGTTCAGGCCGCTCTGGATAAGGTCTGTGAGCTGTACTTACAAGGTCTGAATTATAAGAATAATAGTATTCCACTGTTTATGTTTTTTCTTGTATGTGTGACTGTGCGTGTGTGTATGCATATGCATGTATAGCTGCACTTGAACATGTGTGCACATGTATGGATTATCTTCCTTAATTGATCTCCACCTTATTTTTTGAGACGGTGTCTCACTGAACCTGGAGCTCACTGATTTGGCAACACTGGCTGGTCTATGAGTCTCAGTATCTTTCAGTCTCTACCTCCCCATAGCACTCTACTTAAAAAAAAAAATCTATTTATTTTCTTGTAATGTTTTTATTTATTCTTTGAGAATTTCATACAGTGTATTTTGATCATATTCTTTGTTGTTGTTATTCTTTTGTTTTCAGAGACAGGGTTTCTCTGTGCGGCCCTGGCTGTTCTGGAACTCGTATCTGTAGATCAGGCTGGTCTTGAACTCAGAGATCCAGCTTCCTCTGCCTTTCAAGTGCTGGGATTAAAGGCATGTGTCACCATGCCCAGCTTTGATCATATTCTTTACTCAACCCCAGTCCCTCCAGATCTTTTCTCACCTTTCTCCCCACCCAACTTCATGTTCTCTCTCTTCTCTTAAAACAAACATACAAAGCCAGAGTCCCATTTGTGTTGGCTGACTGCGCCTGAGCATCGGGCCTGCCCTGCGGTATGGGTGATGCACGGAGTTTTACTCCATTGAAGAAAACTGCTTTTTCCTTTACCAGAGCTATCAATTATGAAGAGCGCCATGGCTAAAGAGAGACTTCATGCCCACATATTTGTTGAAATCATAGGCTATTTTCTGTAGCTTTACTGGTTTTGTATTGTCCAAGCACTGACATTCAGCAAACATAAACTGAATGAGTTTTTACATATAATTATTCATGTCTCATAGCCTGGTTTCTCTCTCTCCAGGCTAGAGAAGGCCGGACCACCATCGTGATAGCTCACCGCTTGTCTACAGTTCGTAATGCTGACGTCATTGCTGGGTTTGATGATGGTGTCATTGTGGAGCAAGGAAATCATGATGAGCTCATGAAAGAGAAGGGCATTTACTTCAAACTTGTCATGACACAGGTACAGTGGAACTCTAGAATCTTCCCAAATTACATTGGTAATAATATATTACTATTTAATGCTATGGATGGTTTGATTTGATTTGATTATCTTGAAAAGTAGGAAAAGTGCTTTGGATATTCAGGACCAGGCAAGTGTTTTGTGATACTTTTTCTGGGAAAGAGAGAAGCTTAAAAAGGATAATTAAGGTTTAACAAGGTAGCCACATGTGGCTACTGAGCGTTTAAATGTTGGTTAATCTGGATTTTGAAATATTTTAAGTACAAAATGAACACTGGGATTATGAAGGTCTAGTATTAAAAAATGCAAAATATTCCAGTAGCTTTTTGTACTGTTACATGTTGAATGTATAAGTTGGATAACAATAATATCTTGGATTCACTAGATTAAATATATAGTTAAATTGATTTTTTACCATTTTCACATTTTCTGTTGTGGCTGCTAGAAAAATTTAAATGGCAGGTGTGACTCACATTATGGAATATACCACATTGCCTTTGATAACACTAGTTCAAAGCAAACTTGATTGACTGAATGCCCCAGAGAAAAAGGTGGTTTGAGTTAGCTTTCTGTTGCTGTGAAAAAACACCAGGACTCAACACAACTTAGGGAGGATAGGGTAGATTCCATCCTGTAGCTTATAGTCAGTCCATCATCCAGGGAAGTCAGGCCAGGAACCCGGAGGAGTGCTGCTTACTGGCTTGCTCCCTCTCCTTACTCGGTCTTTCCTATACAACCCAGGACCGCCTGCCCAGGGATGGCACTGTGTGCTGGGCCCTCCCACTTCAATCATAAATCAAGAAAATACCCGACAGAGTTGCTTAAAGGTCAATCTTATAGAGGCATTTTCCTCATTAAGATTCCCGCTTCCTGGATGTTTGGGTTTGTGTCCAGTTGCCAAACCGAGCAGCACAGAAATGGCTACCTAAGAGTCGTTGTATTTGGTGCAATCCTTTTCATTTCACGGTTTTCATTTCATCACATGAGAAAGCAGAGCAGCTTAACCCCGTCTTGTCCCATAAAAACTTGAAACATTTCATGGTTTTCCTCAGGCTGATGCTTATGAGCTGTTCCTCTTGTCTAACTGTGCCTAACCAATTTCTCCGTCTTTCTTATTTGTTTTAGACTAAAGGAAATGAAACTGAACTGGGAAGTGAAACTTATGAATCCCCAAGTGACACTGAGGCCTCTGAATTGACTTCAGAAGAATCAAAATCCCCGTTAATAAGGAGATCAACTTGCAGAGGTACTCATGGTCCACAAGACCAAGAGAGAAGAGTCAGTGTGCAGGAGGCGCAGGTATGGATGTGGCTGCAGTCTTAGTTCTTAAACCCTCCCCACACCCCTCCTTGTGTCTCTGTTAGTTGGGTGAGCTGGAGCTGGTGTAGGAGGGAAAACAAGATATGACTGTTTCGATGCCTTCTGTCATGCTTTATAGATTGTTGCAGAAATAAAAATCAAAACATTTTACAGTCAGAATTCATAGGAGTTTTTTTTAATTTTGGATTTATGTAAAGAAACTGTAGTGGTCTGTAGTTTTTTGTTTGTTTGTTTTTTGTGTTCTTTTTTTTTTTCTCTTTGGGGGCCCACCACCTAGCTCCAAATAAATACACAGAAACTTATTTTTACTTACGAATGCCCAGCCTTAGGTTGGCTTGTTTCTTACCTGCTTTTCTTATTTAACTTAAATTATCCCTTTTCTCTTTAACTACACTTTGTCTCTGGGCTTTTTACGTTTCTTCTTACTTTCTTTCTTACTCTGTGGCTGGCTGTGTGGTTGGATGGCTGGCCCCTGGCATCCTCCTCTTCTTCTCCTTTTTTTGCTCCTTCTTTTATCTTTCCTTGAACCTGGCTTTCTCCTCCTATTTATTCTCTCTGCCCACCAGCCCTGCCTATCCTTTCTCCTGCCTTGCTGTTGGCTGTTCAGCTCTTTATTAGACCAATCAGGTATTTTAGACAGGCAAAGTAACACACCTTCACAGAGTTAAACAAATGCAACATAAAAAATACAACACATCTTTGCATCATTAACCAAATATCCCACAACATAAACGAATGTAACACATCTTAAACTAATATTCCACAATAGTGGTCTATATTATTAATGGCCTTGCTGTGGCACAATACCCACCTGAGGCAACTTCAGGGAGGAAGGAAGGGTGTATTGTGTCTCACAGTTTGAGGGTAAAGTTCATCGTGGTGGGCTTAAGATGGAAGCAGAGTGATGTGCTTGTGTTCGGTTCCCTGCCCCTTGACTCAGCCCCAGAGTTAGGTCTTCTCAGGGCAGTTAAGCAGGTCTGGATCTGGATCACCCCTTGCAGCTGTACTCTGAGGCGTATCTCCTTGGTTATTCTGGGTCCTGTTAAATTGACAATATTAGCCATCACTCTCAGGAATTCCTAAAGTCAGGAATGTTGAACAAATCTTAAGTCATTAGTAAAATCGTGCTGTTTTGTTTTGTTTTTGTGGTGCTAGGGCCTCATACATTTCACTTGGGCACCTTACCGATGAGCTCCATCCCCCACCCTTCATTTTACTATCTACTATAGCAAGTGGGACGCAGCCCTGCCTGTATGCCTTTATGCCCTTGTACTCTTAATATATATGAAGAGTCTGTGCAGATGGATGGAGCTGGTCCAGACATAATATATGTAAATAAACATATAGCCAACCAAGACTAGGCTTATGAGAGTTAAAAGCACATATTCTTTATAACCTCAGATGTCCATAATATCAGAATTATTATGTGTTAGGACAGTTTAATGATTTTTAAAAGGAGTGAGACGCTGGTGGATCTGCCAGTACTAAATTTTCTATTCTGTTTGTTCCCAATTATAAATATTCTTGTTTTGTGAAGTCTAGGCCAAGAGTGTTGGTAACAACATCATTAGTTTTTTAAATGAAACTGTCAGAGTTAGCTTCAGAAATAGTACTGCCAGTCAATAAGGAATTATGTTATATTCATTAATGATAATATGGATGGAGCTATAGATGATAAACCTAATTATCAATTTTTAAATAATACCTCTATGTGTATGAGTGTTTTGTCTGCATGGATGCCTGTGTACCGTGTGTGTGCAGTACCCTTAAAGGCCAGAATCAAATCCCCTAGAACTAGAGTTACAGATAACTATGAATTGCCTTACGGGTGCTGAGACTAGAACATGGGTCCCCTGGAAGATCAGCAAGTGCTCTCAGCTGCTGAGATGTTTCTCTGGCCCCCACGTTATCAATTTTGTAAACTATCTTATTGTAATGGATGTGTTTTCTAGGAGGAAGATGTGCCTCTAGTTTCGTTTGGCCAGATCCTAAAACTAAACATAACTGAATGGCCTTACTTGGTCATTGGTGTACTTTGTGCTGTTGTAAATGGATGCATGCAACCAGCGTTCTCCGTAATATTTTCAAGGATTATAGGGGTAAGTGTTGGTGTCCTTTCTGAGTATTTGTTTGTGTTTACCAATGAAGAGTGAATGAATTGTTTCTATTTGTACCGTTGACGATAAACCAGAAAAACATGACTCTTCACATGGCTTGAAGATAGGAGAATAGAAGTATAATTTGTAAGAGGAAACATAATTTTTTTTATTTAAGCTCTTAATTTTTTTCATTTGAGAATACTGTATTTACATCATTTTAATCTTCTTTTACCCCCTCCAACTCCTTAGGTCTACTCCCCACCCCCTCTCAAATTCATCCACTCTTTTATAATTATTATTGTTACACACACACACACACACCCTACTGAGTCCATTTAGTGGTAAAACACAAAGAAATAGGGATAAAAGACAGTTGACAAAATGGGCTGTCCTTTGGGGGCAGAAAGAGTGTAAGAGCCAGAGAACCAGGACACCTGCTGCTGAATGACACGGGAGTTGCACCCATGAAATTGTGACAATAAAATCGCCTTTACAAGAGCCATATAATGACAAACCAGTCATCATGCCAAAGTGAGTGGGTGACATTTCACACGGGCCCATAATCAATGCCTCTGAGAGATGGAGACTCCATTGCTTTAGGGATGAGCTCCCTATAGTACAAATAATCAACCCAGACAGCTTGGAACACTTTGAAATCTTTACAGAGTAAAACAATGAGCTGTTGAACAGTATTACTCCTTGCCAAGATTCCAAGTAGAGAGAATTTATTGCAATTTATTCCATAGTAGGGTGGCATGCATTAATCTATATGGACCCCCCCCCAATATTGTTGGGTGAATCTGTGAATGGCAGACCCCCCCTCTGTCTAGAAGGAAGGCAGAATACAGATGCCTTAGAGGTCAGTGTTCTGGAAACCAACCTTGTTCCAGTATACAAGGTCTGTCTTGTCCTCCAGACTGTTTGAGATGGGGAGTGGGCTCCATGAGGAATACCTTTCTCAGCCATAGAACTAACAACCCTTCAAATACTTTGTCACAGGTTTTTACAAGAGATGATGATCCTGAAACCAAACAACAGAACTGTAATTTGTTTTCCCTGCTTTTTCTGGTCCTAGGAATGATTTCTTTTGTTACATATTTCTTACAGGTAAGTGTCTACATCATTTCTGTATTCATTTCTGAAGATTGTGCAAACAAGTATTTCATTTTTCTGTGTGTGTGGTTCCTCCATCATGACCTGGGCTGTACTAGTCCTACGGTTCTGCCACCTCTTACTTTCCTCGTCTCTACCCTTTCCCCAAACACAACCCTCGACCTAATCAGAGTAAGGGGATGTTCAATGTGCTAGAACAAAGATGGAGACATCAGAACCGGGTAAGTTTGCAGCTAAGTATCGTGGGTCTATTTAATACTGAGAGAAATGTGTTTCTATGTTTGAAAAAAGGAGAGAGGGAGAAACTAAGAGAATTCTGCAAGTGTATCACACTGATTTAAAAACTAGTTTGAGATGTTTGTCACTATGCTCTTGCTACAAAGAACCCTTCCTTTCTCTTTTCTTTCTCTCTCTCTTTCTTTCTTTCTTTTTTTCTTTCTTTCTTTCTTCCTTCCTTCTTTCCTTCCTTTCTTTTTTTTTTTTATTAGTTTTGAGACAAGATTTCTCTGTGTAACAACACTAGCTGTAGCTGTCCTGGAACTTACTTTTGTAGACTAGGCTGGCTTTGAACTCACAGAGATCAGCCTGCCTCTGCCTCCTGAGTGCTTAAAAGCGTGTGCCACCACACCCAGCAGAAAGAACCCTGTCAATGATAAAAGAATGCCAGTCAGTAAAAGGAGAGAAGCACTTACGTCTTTAACACTTTTTGTAGGTTGAAAATCATATGACTCAAATTCAATTGCAAAACATTAAATGCTCTTGCTCTATTGTTTGGAAAGGCGTGCAGCGTGGACTCTGGGGTTAGGCCTAGATCTTTCTGTCATTTGCACACAGAGCCAATTATGTGTCTGTGGAACAATTAGCCATAGCTGCCTTTGCCCGAGCTTCCCTTCTCCAACATACGGGAAAGGTTACCTCAGGATGATTGAGAGAACTATGACCAAGTGAGAAAGCCTGGATGTATGAGGCATTGGGAAGTAACGTCCTATTGAGTGAATCAGTGATTAACCACATGGAATCTTTTAGCTGAAACTCTGAATATTTCTTTTAATACATTTTTTTATTTATTTAAAATTTTATTTTATGTGTAAGAGTGTTTTGTCTGCATGCATGTCTGTGCACCATGTGCATGCCATGTACCAGTAGAAGCCAGAAGAGGGACACCAGTCCCCTGGAACTGGAGTTACAGATGGTTGTGAACCACCATGTGGGTGCTGGGAACAGAACCTGGGTCCTCTGGAAGATCAGCCAGTGCCTTTAACTGCTGGGCCATCTCTCCAGCCCCTAGTTAATGCATTCTAGACATGTATTAATATTTTCTTAGACAAAACGCAGTTCCTGAACACTGTTGGAGGGAAAAAATGAATAAAAGAGTTTTTTTGACTAAATGCTTATAAGATTGTAGAACTACACTTTGCTAGAATAAATGAGACACTGCCTACCAGCAAGAGGGTGGGTCTCAAATGTGTGGAGAAGGTTCAGTTGCTCCATGTGGAGTGGGCAGGAGATTGGAAGGAAGGCGGCTTTGAGCTGGTCATTCCTGCTTTGGCAGTTAGAATGGTGAAGCTTGAGGAGAGAAAGCTATTCCCTCACAGTCTGGCTTTGTTGGAGAAACTGAGTTCAAACTCAGTGTGGTAAGACTGCCAACTCACATTGAGAGACAGCCGGTGAACTTCAGAACGGCTTAGCACAGTCCATGACGGAAGGGTGGAATATGCCCAGCTGCTCATCTGAGAAGTGGGCAGGGACATGAGTGAGGGCGGGAGGTCAGACTGGGTCCCATCCTGCTCAGGAATTTGCATACCTTGGTGTAGGCCCCAGTTATGCCACTGTTGACCTGTGGCCTCTGGAAACCTGTCAACTGTTCAACCCCCAGTTTGGTTTTAAGCATGATGGTTATCGGGTTATGAGGTCATCATGTCGCCCACCGTGTGGCAGAAGGCAGCTCTCAGCAAAAACAACAGTGACAGCTTCCCTGTGGCACACTGCAGGCAGGTAGTAAGCAGCCCATCTAGTCTAGCAAATTCAAAGTGAGGAAGACCTTTTGATCACATGTCATTTGATCCAACAGCAGAAACCTGTTTGTGTTCCCATCTGGCCTTCACTTACATAGTCCCCCTTCTTTCAGTAACACCCGGAGTACCCTTGGGAACACAGAAGAATATCTGGCTGCCCTTTTCCACTTCCTGATGCCACAGAGGTCACAGGGATGGAATTAGGACTCCCCTTTCTGTTGCACCACACAGCCTTTCCCACACGGCTTTTCTGTGTCTCAGCTGTGGTTACCAGTTCAGGTGGAACGGGGAATACTGCTGCTTCCTTTGTCCCCGTGGTCATCCTATCGAGGACGTGGCTGACCTCCTTTCGAAGATGTGGCCTGGCATGGTGGCCCACTCACGTCTTGCTGTTCTTTCCTGGTTACTCTGTCCCTCCCTCAGACATTGAAGTGCGTAGCCTTGAAGCATGGGGAGGGAGGTAGAGTGCGAAAGACTTTCTCTTGGTGAGCCACCTTCCTCGATCTGCTTTGGTCCCAAACTTTGGTTTTTTCAGTTTGTAAGCTAAGACTGTTCTCTGCCTCCTTCATGTAGGGGCGACTGTAATTTCTTTTTCCCAGATTTCCCCTTAGCTTCTTGTGCAGTCATGAGCAGTGCACATCTTTTTTGTCTCGCAAATGTTCCCGTTGGATGATAAATTTTGTTTACAGCTTGTGTAGAGTGCCCCAGCTTTCTAAGTGCTTGCTGTTGTTCATCGAGGATGGGGTGGGTGGGGCATGTACACGCAGTTGTGGTACCCCCCGCCCCCACACCTTGTTGCTGACTGGGAGCCATGGGTTACTGTCAAAACTGGCCTCTGCTAGCCCTCCCACCACTCCAGCTACATCGCTGGCTCCTGGGTAGAGTCACAGCAGTACAGCACACCCAGGAATGGGGCTTTGTGACTCCACATTCATCCTGCCTCCGCAACAGCATCGATCCACTTCCTGCTGTGTGCTTGGTGTCTGAGTCTCCGGTCAGCCTTCTGTGTGACGCATTCTCATTCTTCACAGGGCTTCATGTTTGGTAAAGCTGGAGAGATCCTCACCAAGCGACTCCGATACATGGTTTTCAAATCCATGCTGAGACAGGTATGGTTGCACCCGGAGGTGGGGAGGTAGGACTTCTCTCTTGTGCTCTGTGGACACAGATTGTAAAAGCTCTGTCAAGTTCCTCAAATAGAGATCCTTCACGGGTCTCCTTAGCCTCCTCTTGGGATGTTGTTGAGCCATCTGTAGTTAGATGTAGGCTGCCCGGGTCTCCTCAGCCTCCTCTTGAGATGTTGGTGGGCCATCTGTAGTTAGATGTAGGCTGAGGACCTGCAGTCTGTTTGCTGCAGGCGGGCACAAGGAACCAGACTGACTTGAGACAAATAGAGTCTTCCGAGTAGGTTCTCCTCCAGCCTTTTGGTCCAGCATTGAAAGACCACAGAAGCCAAAGTAATCTTCAGTAGCCCTCATCCCTCACTCTTCCTTACTTCTCCTGTGAAGCTGGGATACCAGGTCATGACTCTTGCCCTCAGGAGATACCCTCCATGCCTCTCATTCCACAAACCCAAGGTCATCGCCGTAACTCACCACCCCTCACTGCCTAGTTTCTTCGCTCTCCATGCAGTGTAAGCTCCCTGACTTAACAGGACAGGGTGCATCTCACAGTGTGCACCTTCAAGACCCTCCAAACAGACAGTGAGGATGTTTTCCTTAAAGAAGTGGGATTTGGGAAAGGGATTCCAGGACAGCCCAGTTGAAAGAGGGAAGATTTTTGTTTTTTTTTTTATCAATTGTGAGAAATTTGCATATGACTTTAAACCTTTTATGATCACTGAATGTTCAAGCATCCTAGCCCAGGCAAGCTGGAGGCACTTGAACCCAGCTCAGAAGCGTCAGTGTTCCACAGGACAGTGACTTCTCCTGGGCTGTTGTTTCATTGGTGTTTTAAGATTTATTTTATTTTTTTAAATTCTGTGTATATTGGGAGTGGGGTAATGTGCACATGAGGGTCGGGCCTGCAGAGGTTCAGACTGAAACCTAATAACTCCCCTTCTGTTTAATATGTTCACCTCTGCTCCACTTGTTCATCAGCCTCCTAGCTGGTGGTGTTACCTCCAACCTCATCCCAATCTGGAGGCAGTGTATCAGGGAAAAGTCCATAGTCTCCACAGTTGCCAAAGGCCATGCACATGTACATCTCCCATCTGCCTCACAGAGGTCATCTGCAATGGTACCCCCGTCCAGCACATGGTGTCTTCAAGACACTGTAGGTAACTTCAACAACGGTTGTGGAAGGTTCAGGGGGACCCCAGTAGGACAAAAGGATCCAGAGGAAGAGGCAGATTTAGAGATAAACACAGTGGGTTTGTTGTTTGTTTGTTTGTTTGTTTGTTTAGGCTACACAGCTTGCTAGCTTTAGTTAAGATTGAGTGTGCCTTGGCCCTGGTCTTTGCAAGCGCTACATCTTCTCTCTCAGAGGCTCTCATCTTTTCCTTCATTTCATATCTGCTCACACATCCCCTTAGAAAGTCCTTCTCTGCCCCTTCTCTACCTTGTCCCTTACTTCTTTGTCCTTCTTTGATAGGTTTTTGTCCAGAGTGTTAATAACTGTCAAGACAGCGTGAATTTGTTTACCTGTGCCTTCTCTCCCTTGAGTTGAGGCTGTATGATGATAGTGACATGTTACTCTTCACAATTTAATACTTAGAGTTCTGCTGGAGACAAATAGACATTTTTTACGTAAATTAACAAATAGTCCAGTTACATGTTTGTATAGGAACTTTCTTCTGTCTATTGAACATTAAATTTTGAATATTAAATGCCGGGGATATGTGATAGCTGATGCTGTCACATTCTCCTATATCTAAGAGTTTCTTAAATAGAGCATTCTGATTTAAAAAAAATACCTTTTATATTACAGGATATAAGCTGGTTTGATGATCATAAAAATAGTACTGGCACGTTGACCACCAGGCTCGCCAGTGACGCTGCTAATGTTAAAGGGGTACGTGCTTCCTTCCTGTGGGTGGGTGGTGTCTTTCCATTTTGATCCCCAGCATGGGACTGATTTTCCCTTATAGGTATTAGTGACTGTCTTTAAGAAAACATAAATATTCGTTTAACGCACTGGGATATCACATGCATTGTAGCTAAGGTATAAGATGAACTATACATTGCATAGGATATAACTTAGAGGCATTCTTTTGTTATTGCTGTTTTTCATACAATTAATAGGGCCCACCAAGGATAGTTATTAGGAAAGGACCCTCTGTGTGTGGTATCCTGCCCAGGAGGCTTATTTGAGGTGTGAGGGTTGCTAATAGAAGGGGAAGTATTAATAATACGTTTCGAAGGGTCAGTCTGTTTTCCTGCTCAAGTTAATCAAGGGACAGTTGTAATTGCTACTCAAGAAAAGACACATGTGCATCTTGTCAGCATGTTTCTAGACATTACAGTTCAGAGCAGAGGGAAGAAAATCTTCCTTAAAATGATCGTAGAAAACAAAACACATATTAAAACTTGTTGCCTGCCTGGAGGGAATAGCTTTGAATTGCCACATCATCAAATTTTGATTTCTGACTGAAGTTGGTTTCTTCTGTACCCACCACTTCACAGCAATAGTCTTCAGGAAGCTGGTGTGAGAACTCACACATGTTCCCCATTGTGTCCCCCTCAACCCTGGGCCTCGGTGCCAGTCTTCATCTTTCCAGCCTCCTGAAAGACAGAACTACACACTGACTTTACAGGCAGTAATAGATGGCGCTTCTGTTAAAATAGATCGGAATATGAAACCACATAGGCGAGTTGGAAAATTCTTCAAAGCCTTGTAAAGCTCAAGAATTAGTTTTATATTTATCTTTTTTAAATGGGTAAATCAAACAGTAAAGACTTAAGATGAGTTGTGCAGGACACAATGTACACACAAGACGTAATTATGTATGTCATGTAACAAACAAGACTCTTGCCCTCACACAGTCTTCTTGGTGGGTCAGACTATCAAAAAGTGCAAAAGGATGGCTGGAGGCAGGGTATAGAGTTAGGGACTGCCTAGCTGTTGGAAGGGAAGGAGGGATGGAGGAAGGAAGGAAGGAAGGAAGGAAGGAAGGAAGGAAGGAAGGAAGGAAGGAAGACCTCAATGATGTCATGCAGGCAGGAGTCTGATGGAAGGGAAAGTGTGATTTTTGTAGGAATATTCTTCCTAGTTCTTCTAGGAGGAATATCCTAATAAGATTGGCTAGTGCTAAGGCTCTGACTCTCCCACCTTCCTCAGATAGCCAGATTTTGTCATCTTGTGATCTATCTTGATTCTTTGGCCCTAAGACCTACCAAAGCAGGATCTGCCTATGTCTTAAAGGTTATGGCCAGGGAAATGCCTCTACTGTGCCCATGGGAGATGCTCTGAGTGTTTCTGTCCATCAGCAGCTGCTATGGGGAGTGAGTTCTGGGTAGGATTATAGGAGCTAAGACCAGGAGCACCTGAGTGCATCCCCATCCTACAGAGTCTCCAGGTCACTTCTCTTGATCTTCACATGAGAAATGTGTGGGAAGAGCCCTTTAAAGGTCACTCTGCTCTTTGACTTGTGCATAACATAGCAAAGGGTCTCCTCAGTAGAAGTTTAGTTGACTGCACCACACACACATACACACACACACACACACACACACACGCATGCACGCACACATTTTTCGTAATTTTTTGCTCCATATTTTTTTCCCAAGTCCAAGTAAATGACACCTAATAAGTGTTTCAAATGAGCCCAGGTATGAATTAATACCCTTAATGAAAAATGTTAGTCTTAATTTATAAGCAGTTGGGTGCCTAATGTTGAAACTTCCACCATTGCCAGGCCAGTCTCCTTTACATAGCTTGCTTTAGTGATCACGCTTTGATACATGACGATGTCTTGGTATTGAAGAATCAGCCAGGGCTGGGGAGAGGGTTCAGTAGGTAAGACTTTCTCTGCAAGCACAAAGACCTGAGTTTGAATCCAAAACACTCAATGTAAAAAAAACCAGGCCATGGCTGCATGTACCTGTAACCTCAGCATTGGGGGACAGAGACAGGTGGACCCCAGGAGCTCAGGAGCAAGCTATGGTTAAAGCCTGTTTCAAGGCAGTAAGGCAGAGAACGACAGAGGAAGCCACCCTGCATCCTGCTCTAGCCTCCATATGGGTGAGTACGCCAACACACTCATGTTCGTGTACTCCACAAACACGCATGCACCCACATATCTTGATTCAAACACACCCAAAAAAGAAAAAGGAATCAAAATAGAGAGAACATCTTAGTTCTGGATTATTGATCTCTTTTATATTTATGTAGAAGTCAGGGAAATCCTCATTTTAGAAACACAATAAACTTAAAATTAAAGCAGAGCTTTAGTAACTGAGAAGACAATTAGTGTATTTGCATGAAAGCAAATTGTCCTAATTCTTAAGAGTACGTGTATTTTACAGTTAATGTAAAAATGTGTCTCTAATTGTTGTGTTTTTCAGGCTATGGGTTCCAGGCTTGCTGGAATTACCCAGAATGTAGCAAATCTCGGGACAGGAATTATCATATCCTTAATCTATGGCTGGCAGCTAACACTTTTACTCATAGTGATTATACCGCTCATCATATTGGGTGGCATTATTGAAATGAAAATGTTGTCTGGTCATGCTCTGAAGGACAAGAAAGAACTAGAGGTTTCTGGGAAGGTGAGTCAAACTAAGCACAATGCTTACCTAGCAGCAAAACGCTTCTTGGTGGTGATGTTCGCGATTCCCTGCTGCCGGCTGTGCTCTGAGGATGTGGTTCTAACCGTTCTTCCAGAAAACTTCGGTTTCCTGCAGATTCGTAGCAGAAGAAAAGTGGACAACAGCTCTCTGAGCTCGAAGACTGGCAGCTGCTTGTCAAGGCTTTCCTGATTTCAGGCTGCTGCCTCCACTTTCTCCTGTGTTCCCATCCGGCCCTCTCCTCCCTTCCGTTCTTTTCTTCTCTCCCACCTTCTCTGTGTTCGGGGATGTAGGTGCGTTCTGTTACACATGATTGGGGAGGTTCAGTATGGAAAGTCCTGAGAGTGTTGCGTTCCTCTTTTCATGCCTCCGCTTTCCTCCCACGTCTGTTCTTCCCTTGACCCTGTTTGTCCTGCACCTTTACCTGTTTCTTTTTTCACAGCTTGACAAATGCTTTGGTGGACTTTCTGGGTTTCCTGGTAAATGTTCTATTTCTTGCAGTGACTGTAGTAGGTGTGTTGTGTTTATTGAGCTTCTTGATTTTTGTGGTGAAGACTTTTTATTTGAAGAAAAGCATTACGATTTTATAGTACTGATGTGCTTACAATGCCGTAGAGTGATGGTAGGAAGATAACCAAGTCTAAGAACCAGGAGACTGTTCCAGGCTCACGAAGTTACTTCAGCGTGAGTGAGGCAAGGAGTGCAGATGGAGATGGGTGTGTCTATGGCAGACTTTCAGAGTCATGGTCAGGTTCTACTTCAATGGTAGCTCCTCAGAGGGAATACAGTACATAGAGACCATGGCGGTGGCTATTCAAACCACCCTACTTAATACTAAAAATCAACCTCATTGTTCTATGTTCTATGTTCTCAGGTTACCATTTATTATTAAATAACTGGCATATAGCCGCCATCATCTTGTGAGCTGTATGTGTATTCTCTTACTTATTGCTGTCAGTAACTCTGCAGAATTATCCCTGTTGGAGAGGTGATAAAGCCCAAAATTTAGAGAGATCCTGGGTCTTGTCCAAAGTCACAAGGTAATGGATGTCTCACTGATCTACTCCCTCTAGTCATATCCTCCTGTACTCTATATTCTTCACACAAAATCCATTCTCATATCTATTAGATACATATCAGATCGTGCTAACCTGCACTTCAAATCTTGCCGTGGCTTCTAAGGAGTTGCGTATAGTCCAAGCTTTTATCCCGGCTGCAAACCCAACGTGGCCTAGTCCTGGATGACTGTTCCTTTCTTGCACTGCATTCTTTGTGGTCCACACTGCTGCAGCCACCACGGGCCTTGTGCAGCTCCCATCACACTCCTCTTCGATTCCCTTGGACCACGGATGGCTTGTTTACATCATTCGGGTTTCTGAATTGTATTTCCAGAGGCCATTCACACTCGCTGATTGCATGCCTCCTATCAGCCTCTGATGTTTCTGTCCTATTTCTTTATTAATGGACAGCATGTCTTCCTTGCTAAAACTTAAGTGCCTGCTTACCATCTTCAGTCCGTGATGTCAGAATGCGCTCATAGCCTTGACGTCTAAGGCGTGTGTTTGGCAGTGTTTAGTCATGTTCTTATGGACACACTGAGCACTTACTAAAAAAGCTGCAGTTTTTTTCCAATCGTGAAAGCCATAATCAAACATGAGTTTTTGAAGGCAGGAGGGGGAGGGTAAAGAAGTTTATTCATTTATTTTTTTCAAAATCATGCATTTTTCTTTCTCCAAAGATATTTAGTAAACGATTCTTTCAGAAAGAAACAGTACCATTTTTTACTCTTCCAACTAAAAGTTCTTCATTTGGGGAATTACTTAGTCTTTAAAACTTGTGGAGATTGAAGCTATAAGGGTAGAAGCTTCTGGTTAAGGTTTTTTCCTAATTGCTTCATTGCACCTCTAAATGAAGAGATAATTCTGTGGGATAGTATGTCATTTTACTGACCACAAAAATCTGTGCCTCAAACTCTCATTTTTATCAGCAACAAACACTGAGAATACATGATATTTACAAACTCACGAGAGCCCCAGCAGCCTGGCCTTAGGAAACAATGCACAGGAAGTCTTTCAGACGTCATTGAAGTTGACCATGGAACTTGTTTTCCATCACTCACTGCTGTGGTTTGTTCAGTTGTCTTACTAACCCAGAAAAGCTCTCCTATTTATTTGAACCCTATAATTAAAAATATTTTAATGTATCTGAACAAAGATTGTCTGGATAAATTTTTTTTCTCTAACATTTGCTTTTCCTTACTTTCAGGATTTTCTAAAATGCGTATATGTTTGGTGTGTGAGTATGCAGTTGTACGTGAGTATGGGTGCTTTTGCGTATGTGTGGGGAGGTCAGAGGTCAGCCTCAGGGGTCATTTCTCAGGAGCCATCCACCTTGTCTTTGAGTCAGAGTCCCTCACTGGGACCTAGAAACCACTGGTTAGACTAGGCTGTCTCAGCAAGTCCCAAGGATCCTCTTGTCTCCCTTTCTCCAGTGCTGATATTACAAGGAGAGTGAGAGGGGAAGTGTGTGTGTATGTGTGTGTGTGTGTGTGTGTGTGTGTGTGTGTGTGTGTACACTGAACATCCAGAAAATGATCTGTAATAGCCATACCTTTAGATTTAAATCAATTTATAAAGCGTGTAGCTAACAAACTAAAGTAAAGCAATAATAGCAAATAGCAGATAGATAGAAGCAACAGATAGTTAGCAATGCATCATCAAATAAAGTACTCAAAACATGCAGCAGAAATGACTAAAGTAGACTGGTTGAAAGAGCAGACAAAGGTAACAGCAAGTCAGGACTTCGGAGCATTGAGCAGAAATCGGCTGGGGAGGAGGCAGCCATGCTGAGTTACCGGCTGAGTGTCCTCTCTGTGAGTGGGCTTCTTCCAGAGGACTGGGTTTGCCCCCCAGCACTCCCAGCAGCTCACAATCATCTGTAACTCCAGTTCCAGGGCATCTGATGCTCTCTTTTGGTTTCCATGGACATGGCATGCAAGTGGTGCACAAACATACAGACAGACAAAACACACTGATACTGATACACATGAAATGATTTTTTCAATTCCCTTTCCAAATTTAGATACTTTGTATAGGATTCAGTGAAAAATAAGGGGGCTTCCCATTTTGGGGTATTCTTCTATAAATTACAACATAATGAGATGTATCATTAAAATCAGTTCTGACCTGTGAAAGAGCCTGAGAGAAGAATATCTGAACCAATAAGAGGAACTTCTCTTGGTGATCTATAGTTTTAGAGTTGAAGAGACGGTAGAGATCTTCTACCCATCCCCTTCATTTTACACATAAGAAGCATGAGACAGGTGGTTTGTCTCATGGCTGACAGAGATTGAAATCTCATGGGGGTATTTCTGTTCTTTGCATTCTCCACATCCCTTTACCCACATTCCAAAACGTGGCAAAGAATGTGTGTACTAAACAAATATCCTCATTAGTGGTAGTATGTTATCAGATTGTAATAGGATGGCAAAAATTTGGGGAGAGTATATCTGCCATGTTCCTAAAATATAGTGTGTTTTCAAATACCACTAAAAGGTATGTTAATGAAAGAAAAATAGCAAGGAATCGAACAGTAACACAGTAAGCCATCAGACTTTAAAGGTGAATAAGAAGAAACTAAGATACAAACAAGAAGAAAATTATAGAACCTAGTATGTTTTCCAGTGGTAACTCTAAGTGTAAATGATCCTAATTCCACAATTAAAAGGCACAGACTGGATGAATGGATGTAGAAGCAAGATGCAGCAATATGTAAGAAAGCTCACCTGTAAAATACAGCATCTGCAAGTGAAAGGACAGACAGCAATGGTCCAAACAAACGGAATCCGGAACCAAGAAGGTTTAGCCACACTTAGCCAGCAAAATGGAGTTTAAGGGAACATCGGAATACATAAAGGGGATTGCCATTTATTAAGGGGATGATTCATCAGAAGATAAGTTTCTGTGCACCAAGTGCCAGAGCACCTGACCTCACTGTTAGACCCGAAGGCTGTCTGGGTTCCAAGGCAGGAGTAGTGTGTGAACTGACGATCCCACTCTCCAGTACATTACCTAGATGGAAAAGAATTAACAAGGTGGTTTTCTCTGAGCACAGTAAGAGAAACTGAATAGGCAGTGCTAGGAAGGAAGTTTATGGCAGTGAACGCCTACCCCATAAAGAGATCTCACCCTGGTGATGCATCCAAGTCTTGTAGAAAGGTGAGAATGAACCAAACCAAAAACAGAAGGCTGGTCAGGACACAAGCGATTAAAATGGAGCATAAAAGAGCACCATCAGGGACCAGTGAGGAAAGATGGCTCCGTGGGTGGGAGCACTCACTGCCTGTCCAAAGGACCAAGATGGGTTCCAAACTCCAGGGATCCAATCTTGTGGCCTCAGTGGAGAACTTCACACACATGACATTCATACACACATACATAAATATAAATCTTTAAAGAGCTAATTAAACAAAGAGCTAGGTTTGTTTGTTTGTTTGTTTGTTTATTTGTTTTCGAGACAGGATTTCTTTGTGTAGCTTTGGAGCCTGTCCTGGAACTTGTTCTGTAGACCAAGCTAGCCTTGAACTCACAGAGATCCGCCTGCTTCTGCCTCCCAAATGCTGGGATTAAAGGTGTGCACCATGACCGCCCAGCTTAGTGTTTTTTTTTTAAAGATCAAATTGCTGAGCACTCAATTAGCCAAAAGAGAAGAGCTAAATAAATAGAACTTAAAAAAGGAAAGCATATGCTTAGTACTACTGGAAACTCAGGATCATTAGGGGATTTTTAATTTTTTAAGATTTTTTACTACTTTAAATTATATATCTGTCTTGTGTGGGTATATGCACATGGAATGCAGGTGTCCACAGTGGCCAGAGGTGTCAGATGCCTCCAGAACTGGAGATACAGGTGGTTGTGGGCCACCTGATGTGGTTTGGGGAATTGAACCCGGATCCTCTGAAAGAGAACAAGTGCACTTAACTGCTGAACCATCTCTCCAGACCCATTAGGGAACATGTCTAGGGGGGAAATGTTCATAACGTAGCAAATTTAGAGGAAATAGAATAATTCCTGAACAAATATGACCTACCAAAATTGAATCTAAGGAATTTAAGAATACAATAAAAACATGAGATTGAATGATAGTAAGTTTCCCAATGAAGAAGTGCACACTACAGATGAGAAAGGGAAGAAACCTCTCCATCTTCATTCTAGGAAGCTAACATGACCCAGCTACTAAAGCCTGAGAAGGACAGAAAAGGAAAGCAAAACAAACAACAAAAACCCAGAAAACTATACAAGAGTGTCTCTGGTCAAACAGACGTAAAAACCTTCAAGGTGTGCAAAGTGAACATGAACACTGGTTAAGAAAAGCTCGTGCTGACAGGCATGGTGAATGCTAGTGATTTGACATTCACAAGACAGGCAGGAAGAATGCTAGTTGCCAATATGGGTTAATGAGGTAATGATACTCTAGGCTACACAGTGAGATGCTGTTTCCAGAAATCAAAACAGGAAATGTACACCATGATAGAGTTGGAATTACTCCTAGGACGCAAGAATAGCTCAGTGTGCACAATTCAGAAGTGAGGTACATGAGTAAACACGGTCCTCTGAGGAGATCTAGAACAGCATTTGAGAAAATTCCACACCCCTTCTTGATGAAAGGCCTTATTAGTATAGAAGGATCATATCTCAACATACTAAAGGTTGTTACATGACAAACATATAACTAATATATTGAATGGAGAAAAAACTGAAAGCATTTCTTACAGTCAGGAGTAAGGCAAGGATATCTAATATCACTACTGTTCGATTTTAGCTCTAGAGATCACATGTGAGAAAAATTATAAAATTAAGAAAGAAGTGAAATCCTGCTTTCCAGATATTTTAAACACAAAAAGACTTTGCTGAGAAACTACCAGAACTGATGAGTTCACTAGAGAAGCATACACATGATATATCCGTGTGTGTATATATCTATAGAGAAGATACAAGGTAACACACACATATCAGTAGCTGTTCTACACACCAACCCACACCTCACTAAGACAAATGAGAAATCCAGTTCCTCACAGCTACAACAACCAAGCCCCTAAGAGCAACCCTGATTCCTGCTCTGCACTGACAAGTGACGAGGGAGGCTGGAGACAGCAAAGGGACCGGGAGATGACGAGTCCACAGCACTCAAAGCATCTGGCAAATTCTTTTTCTGCAGCCCCAGACCAGAAAGATGAACGGTTCAAATGTGGCATATGTGTATTGTTGGGCGGTCTGTTGTTTGCAGGGAAGCAGAATTGGAGTAGGTCACGTTACATGAGACAAAACAAGTATATGTTTTGTTTCATGAGTAGAATATGTTAAAAAGATGAGCGAGAACTACATGGGACTTGGAAGAGGTGAGGAGAGGGTGGAAGGGTAGATGGACCTGATGTGTGGATATATGGAACTTTCAGTGAATCCTGTTAATTTGTACAATTAATATTTGTTAATGACGAACAGCTTTTACTCTCTTTGACCTAGTGTTTTTACTTTCAAAAACTTTTCCTAAGAAAATCATTTTAATACCGGCAAATGCTCACATTCAAAGATATCTATGTAAATAAGAACTGAAAGTGCTGCTGGGCTGAAAACATGCTGCATTGTTAAGGTTGTCTAGAGTACCACACTACATGTATTTAATAACCTTGGAGAATGCTCTTTATCAAAACAGTCTAGAATTCAGAATCTATTTTACTATTAAAGATGTGTATATATATATATATATATATATATATATATATACATATATATATACACATACACACTTGGGGAAAAAGCAATGTTTGAGTGACTGTGTAAAATGCTGATGTTTAACTTTTTATTTTGTAACATATTCCAGATATGTTTTAAAACAACGGAACTTATAAAGAGATAAATATCACATTTTAAAAACATGTAAACCCAGGTATCGTGGTGCACAGCAGTATTAACAGCACCCAGACTGAAGGAGGAAGTTCTTCAGTGTTAGGCCAGGCTTGCATATTTTGCAAGACCTTGTCTCAAATAAATGAATAAATAAACTAAAGCAATTGTAAGGTTAAAATAAGTCCATTGTAGAAGCAAGATCACCGTAAGGGACACACTGAATTCTCAAACACCTTTTTAAAGCCAAGTAAAGAGGGTGGCTTTAGGTCACCTGTCAGCTTC